TATGTAGATAAATTGAGGACAGACATCGACATTGGCCTTTGGGCTCCTCAAACATGCACGCACACACACACATACACATATACCATCCACATGCATACAAACCTGCACAGGGACAGTCTGCACTTCAGAAAAGGTGACTGGTCCAGAAATTCCACACTTACCTTTGGGGACACCCGATACTGGCTGTTTGCGGTGACCCAGTTCTCATTAGACTTGTTTATCAGACCAAGTCTTTTCGGGGTAGAAGAAATTTGAGTTGTGCACTGGCTTGTGTGTGAGTGTCCTGTATCCTCTGGGAACCGACCATCTGTGAGGATGGCTAAGGATGCTCTGTGCAGGCAGAGTTGCAATCTGGGGAGCATGTGGCTTTTAGACAGTGGCCATTTACATTAAAATTCCCAAAGGTCACCTTTCCCAATTTCTCATCAAAACCTTTCCTTGGGGCTAAGAGGAGAAAATTTTATAACTCTCAGATTCTGGAAAGCAACATGAACCTTATCAAGATGCATGCTTGGGTCTCTGATGCAGAGGGGCGTGATCTGCTGCAGAGTTAATACTGGGATCCTAATTGAGCCCTTGCTCGGCTGGGTTGTGTGCTGTCTCTCTGGCATCTTTCCACTCATTACTTTTAACCCCTTCTTGCCTAATTTTTACCGCTGGTAAGAAATGAATTGGGAGAATTCTTCATAGTGTTGAAGTTGAAATAAGTTTATGTAATACTCATATACCGGGCATCTAGAAAATGCCACACAACTATCTCCTCTTTCTTATTACCCTTTTCAATGAGTAAGCAAAACCCATAGGAATAAGAGTCATTTCAAAGATTTATTTTGTATTCCAGTTGTGTACACTTGTGTGTGTGGCAGGAGTGTGCTTGTGCACGTGCTTGCAGATGCTCTCAGAGTCCAGAAGAGGGCGTCAGATCCTCTGGAGCTCCAGTTAAAGCTGTTTGTGAGCCTCCTGCTTTGGCTGCTGCTGGCTGAATCCAAGCCTTCTGGAAGAATAGTGGGTGCTCTTAACCCCTAAACCATCTTCCCAGCCCATGAGGCAGCCATTTAGGTGTGTGTGTGTGTGTGTGTGTGTGTGTGTGTGTGTGTGTATGTGTATGTATGTTCTTGCATGTTGGGGAGTGCAAGGTTGTGCTGAGCTTGCTCTGGGGAACCCCTGTCTTCACCTTCCCAGGCTTAGGCAGTCATGCTTTCTGGGAATCCAAACTCACGCCATGCTTGCAAGGCAAGCACTTTAATTACTAAGCCATCTCTAGTTCCTCAGGGCAGACCATGATTTGTAAGTGGTAAATGAGCTGAGCTGCTTGTTTTTTCCTGGGCCAAGGTAGAGCTTAGAAGCATCTCTTCTACTGGTCGGCTTTTGCTCGAATGGGGCCTTTGGCCCCAAATAGCATCTACTCGTGTGCTGCCTGGTGCTGGAGTGAGTGGGACCAGCACTCCCAGAGGATCCTTGAGATGCACAGTGCTTTGCTCCTCTGATCCTCTGCTGCAGGTGGAGAAGTGGGTGGTCCCTCCACTCTTAAGTGAAAGGTGCATTTTCCAAACAGTTTTATTTTCCCAGAATGAGAAGCATGGGCAAGTCGGCCACCTTGCTCGTCTTGCAAGTGGGAGAGAACAGTGCCCACTAGCCCATGTGACTGTCCAGAATCTTAAGATCTCTAGAGGTCTGCACACAAAGAGACTTGTGTCCTTGAGCTGATGCTTAAAGACTTTATGAATGTCAGAGCTCACCTTGGGTGAGTCAGGATGGTGACTCTGAGCTGTGTCTACACAGGGGATGTTGGAGCCAGTGCTTCTTAATGCTCTTTCCTTCTTCTCTTCTTCCATCTTCTTCTCCCCTCCTTAATCTTCATACTATACTCTCCTCCCTCCTTTTCTTTCTCCTCTTCCCTTCTCAGTTCCTCCTCCTTTTTCATCTGCCTTCTTCCTCTCCTGTCTTTTCTTCCTTTTCCCTTCTCTTCTTTCTCTTTTCCTGCCTAATCAAATGTCCTCTTCCCCATTTCTTCGTTCTCCTCCTTCTTCAGTTTTCCATTCTTCCTCCTCCCCTTTCTTCTTATTTCTTCTCTTCCTGTCTTGATAGAACAAATATACCAGGAATGCATCAGAAAAGCATCGTTCTGTGTCTTGGCCAGCACTGGGGGAGTTTTCTGTTATAACTACTTGCTAATCGAAATGGCTCCTGTGAACTCCTTGTTTGTGTGCAAATCCTTCACACACTGGCAGAGTGAAATCCCAGCTCCCTCTGTCTTGTCAAATGGTGAGAGAAAACATGATTTCCACTCAGCAGTCCATTGACTGCTCCACCTCATTTGGTGGATTAATCTTCCCTTTCCTGCCGGCTTGCCACACCTCCCTGATCCTCCCAGAAGATCCATCTATGAGGAAACGTGTTCCTGGACTATCTGTACTGAGTTATTGACATCTTGATGATGACAATCACTTGGCCTTTGGGCATAGGTTTTGAATGAGTGCTCTTTGGATACACAGATATTCGGAGAGTAGATTAATTTTCGACTCTGAATTTTGGCACACTGCTATGTGTGTGTTCACTATCTGGAGCTAAGATACGGCTGTGTCACCAGTTTAAACAGTTCTAAGGGTCCCTACTGCCATGCTGATGACTTGCTGAGGGTCACTCAATGCCCTGAAGGTTCACGTTGGCCTGTGAAGTTGACTTGACAGCACCCTCTGGTTAGCATCAGCTCTGGCATGGAAAAACACGAGTGATACTTAGCTGACCAAAGGGAAAACAAGAGACATCACTTACTTATTCTACATGGACATACTGAATAGCTGTTCTGGCCATCCATGTGCATAGATGTCTCAAGCCTTGTTGGGTGACTTTTCCTGGTGAGACTTGAACAGATATGTTTGTCCCAAATGGAGCACAGATGACAAACTAAAGACTTATTTCACTGTAGTCTACTTTAGTGAACCAGTGAGTTTACTGGGATTACTTACAGGAGCGTGAGGGACTCAAAGCAGTTGCATCACCAAAAGTCTGCCCAGCATGGGCAAGGACTCATAACAGCTTCATCCCTGCGGCTCCCTGCACTTGGTTAACAGGTTGGAAACATGCCCTGCCTCAGCCTAGTAACTGCTTATGTAACATTGACAGGGTTTTTTTGAGTCTTGTAAGTTCTAGGGACTTTCTGGGCCTTGTGAGTTTTGTTGCCTTCTTCCAGTCTTAATGATTCTCCCTCCAGGAGGGAATGTTTCATTCCAGAGGAAATAGTTATTCAACTGATTTGGTCTCTTTCCCTCCATAATTCAGTTCAGGTACAAGTCCTACAATCCGTAACTGAAGCACGATAAAACAACAACTGAGCATCGTAGCTCCTCCTCTGAGAACAAGGTGCCAGGTAGACCAAAGGTAAAGACATCCCCAGGGGCCATAGCAACAGGTATATGGAACAGTGGAAGCAACACGTTACTCTTTATGCAATGGTGGGAATGGGGGGAGTACAAAAGAGATAAGCAGGCTTGGAGGTTACGTTGAGGTGTTTTTCTTGGTTTTAGGTCAAACTATCACTGAAGTTTGTAAAGCAGTATTGAATTATCTTTGGGGAAAGTAATCTCCAATTCTATGGAAGATTAGGTATGGAGACAGCATTATGATGCCATAATCCCAAATGCAGGTGTTGATTCTTGACTACATTATCCCACCAAACCTGTTATGGAGCACGCACAAAGCCACGGGTCCAGCCCTAACACCGAGTAAACTCAGCACGATGGTACACACATGTGCTCCTAACACTTGGGGAATGGGATGGGATGAGCAGACATTAGTGTCACCCTCAGCTCCATTCTACGTCTGAGCCAGTCCTAGCTGCACGAGACAACCAACAACAACAACAACAACAACAATAATCTTACAGGTTGTTTTTCAAGAGAGGAGTAGAAATGCATAATATTAGATGTACTATTTCTTGCCACTTTCGTGTGATACTTTGATGTTTTAAAACAAAGTGGGCCTTGGTAGTGAAGACCTGGTATTCATGAGCCTAGGCTGAAGGCTTACAAATTTAAGGTCATGTCTCTAAACAAAAAGTATAAAGAGGGCTAGGGATGCTGCTCAGGGATAGAGGGGATGGAGTTGGGGTGTGGCTCAGCTCTTGAGTGGTTATTCAGAATCCTCCAATGAGGGCCTAGGTGTGTGGTCCAGAGGTAGGGCGGTGCCTACCTGGAATATGTTGGTGGACTTGGTTTAGTGTAGACTACTGTCTTAGGGTTTCTATTGCTGTGATAAAACAACATGACCAAAAATAAGTTGGGAAAAAAGGTTTTATTTCGACTTACATGTCGGGATCATAATCAGTCATGAAGGGAAGTCAGGGAAGAAGCCTGAACTTGGAGATAGGCACTGAAGCAGAGACCCGGAGGAGTGCTGCTTACTGGCTTGCTCCTCATGGCTTGCTCAGCTTGCTTGCTTATACCATCCAGGGCCACCTTTCTAGGGGTAGCACCACACACAGTGGGGTAAACTCTCCCACATCAACCATTAATCAAGGAAATGCCTCGCTGATTGGTTACAGACCTATCTTCTGTGGACATTTTCTCAATTGTTTTCTCTTCCCAAAGAAGCTTGATTCAAGTGAACAGCAACCATTTCACCTACCTAGGACAAGTACCTATCTAAATTCCTTCTGTGGGGTGTTGGGGTTATGGCTCAGTGGTAGAATGCTTTTCTAGAATTTCCCAGTAAGGGGTTGGGGTTGTGACTTAGGGATGAACACTTGCCTAGAATTCCCCAGTGAGGGGCTGGGGTGTGACTCAGTGGTAGAGCACATGGCTAGGATGCTTGAGCATCTGGGTTCAATTCCCAGAATTAGGAAAAAATTAACCAGTGTGAAACAATTCTCAGTTCCATCACCAGCTGTTTTTATTATATTTAGGTCATGTCAAGGAGAAAAAGCAGAGGTGTTTACTGCATCAGAGGCTGTTGATCACACTTCTGGTACTTTTCCACTCATACCTCTTTTCTCCTTCCAGGAGACGGGCAGGTGGATTTTGATGAATTCATGACAATTCTTGGGCCCAAGCTGGTGTCATCAGAAGGTCGTGATGGTTTCCTTGGAAATACGATAGACAGCATCTTCTGGCAGGTAAGTGAGATGTTTATATATGCTTCAGTCTGGAAATACCGTGCCTTTTAGGATGAGCTGACTTTGACTATGAAGTCTTGAGTGTCTCTTCATACTGAAGTGACCTCTCTTGGACTGGAGTGATGGGTGCTCTTCGAATCGGATGTCTCAGTTGAAGTCTACGCCATTCTCAGTTCGGGCTTAGAGAAGTGTGCTGTCTCCTTGCGTCTTTTCCTTGGAGCAGAGAGAGTCTGAATTTGTGGGCGTGAAGTTCTTCCAAGTCCAACTCGTGAGAGGCTTTGTCTTGGGGACCTTGAAAAGGGGACATTGGTGGTATCTATGAAAATTTTTTCTTTGGGCTAACTCCCTGAATGTTCTCAGTTTAGGGGTTCAAGAGAGACACTGAGACAGGTTATCCTTTTAGGTAAGAGGGTCATTGGGAGAGTTGCTAATGCCTTAGGTGAACAGGCATTAGAGGAGTTCTGAGGAGAATTTGGTTCCATGAGCCAGAGTGGAGGTGTTGGTCCTATGCCGTGTGCTCGCTGAGGGCTCTGGAGCATATGCTTGCAGTCACATTGTGTCTGCCTCAGTGGCAGAAGTTGGTCCCTCTAGTTACTGTGTGCCCATCACATTGGCTGTGATTCCTGTAGTGTCCGGTTGCTTAGGGTGTTCAAGTAAACTTCCTCTGGGAAAGGGAGGGTTGCAGATTTCCCAGACGATCACAACATGGTGGCTTCATTTCTTCTACAGCAGCTTTGAGGAAAGAGTGGAGAGAGAGAGAGAGAGAGAGAGAGAGAGAGAGAGAGAGAGAGAGAGAGAGAGAGCATGTGTGCAGGTGAGCTTACCCTGAGTAGCTGCTAGCCCAAACCTGACAATCCCGAGAGATTCCCTGCCGACAGCGTATCTGGTAGCTCGTGTTGGATCCCATCAGCACTGATGCGCTTCCTATGACGTGACGGCCTTATCTAAGGGCCTGCTTCCAGTGCTGTCAATTTGCTGTCTTGTGAATTTTGGTTGGAGATTACTGATGCCTACATTCTAATTATTAGAGTGCCACTAAATCACTTTTACATCACTTCTCTGTGCTAAGATGGAACCGTTATTTCATGGTTATGGAATTGGGGGAATGAGTTATTAATCTTTGCTTTTAAAACATGAGCCAGACGAGTTGTCAAGTTCAATCGAATTGAATTTCTTTTTAGGTGTCTAAATCACGACTGAAACCAGGCAGTGTGGAATATACCTGGAGTCTTAGTACTCAGGAGACTGGAGCAGGAGGGTTGCTATGAATTTGAACCCAGCCTGGGCTATGAAGTTTACAGGGTGTGAGACTTTGTCTCCTAAAACCAAAAACCACACTAAAATAATAGCAAACAAAAAAGAAAAACTAAAGTAAAAACTAGGAAAGAGTAAATTCAAAAAAAAAAAATACAAGCACCATCGGAACACAGCATTTCTTTGATTTCTTAATAGAGGTTTTTTTTTTTTTATTTTTTCAGTAACTGTATTTTCCTAAGACAGATTAGCGATCCTTTTTCCCATCTCTCTTCTTACTCTGGTACTCCTCATCTATCACACAGGCAATAAGTATACAAATACCTTTGGCTGTGCCGATAATAGATGACAGACACAATTTGGAGGAAGAAAGATTCATTTTGGCTCCCTGTCTCAGAGGATTCAGATGGTCACTTGGCTCTCTGTGTTTGGGCAGGACATGGGAGCACATGGCACAGGAGGTATTTTCCCTCATTTTACAAGGACAGGAAGCAGAGAGCAAAACAGGAAGGGGCTGGGTATCATATCCCCCAAGGACTTTAGTCTAATGACTTATCTTCTCAAGATCCCATAACATCCAAAATAGAGCCAACTCAAAGAGTAAGGAAGGAACTGTGGGGAGCAGATCCATATCTTACATGGAGGCCCCAATTCTCCAAAGATTATTCACAGTGTGGCATCTCCAGGACCAGGCCATGGCCACATTTTCTAGCGGAACACTGACTCTCTTTAGCATGGTTCTACCATGCTAGCTAACATGATGGCAGATTCTCTATGGGTTTGTTACACTGTAGGTCTTCCACCCCTGGAGTGATAAGATGGGTGCAGCAAAGTGAACCAAGGGGGAAATTGTATCTAAGATTATTTATTTTTATGTATTTTGTGTGACTGCATGTGTGTGAGTGTGTATGAACATATGTGTCCTTCGGGAGCCATCGACTTTTGTTCTTTGGAGCTGGGTCTCTCACTGGCCTGGAATTCACTGATTCAGCTAGCCTCACCAGTCAACAAGCTCTAGGGACCTTCCTATTTCAGCCTCCCCCAGTTGCTCAGATTATAAACTCAGGACACTATACACAGGGTGTTTTGTTTTGTTTTGTTTTGTTTTGTTTTGTTTTGTTTTGTGGGTAGGGGGAGTCTGAGAATCAAACTCATGTCCTCCCGCTTGTAAGACAAGCACCTTACCAACCGAGCCATCTCCCCATCCCCACTTTGTACTATTTAAATGGGTCCTGACATGCAGAGGCTTGCGATTATGTCTTCCCTCTCCAGCAGTTACTTCCCCAGCTAGCAAACAAGCAGAGGAACAGCCTTCGGTCCCCAGCAGCCATGCTTCGCTGCCCGGTCACTGAGAGAAGCCACATGAGGAAACTGTGAAACAGCCGCCACAGCCATCCCTGAGGGAGAGATGCTCACAGCCTCTACACTTGGGTGGCTAGGGGAGGGGGCATTAAGACGAGGCTGTGCACCTGTGTGCACATGCACAAGTGGTATATCTGCATGGATGTATCTGTCTAGGCGGCAGCAATGGTCGGGTCGATAGTCTAAGAAAGGAGCAGAAAGGCAGGCTTCTGCCTCTAGTATTCCAGGATGGGGTAGTGCTGTAGAAAGGACACCTGGCTAAGAGACTGGCACCACTTTCTGTCATAGCTGGCATCTGGTTCTCACAGAAGCAAAGGTACTTGGACTCAGCCGTGGCTCCTCACATGGCATCATAATCGAGGAGCAATGAGTATCTGGCAAGTCGCACGGTCTCGGTGGGTCATGAATTTGCGAGTAGCCCAGCTGGGTACTTTGGCTGTGGTTCTCTCAGTGGCTTGCCCTTGGGATGCCTGCAGTGGTCATTAGAAGGCTTGGCTGAGGCACAGGGACGTACTTTCGGGCTGCCTCGTTGCCCTGCCTGGCAACCTGTCCTCAGGTCCCCACCAAAAGGCCTCTCCATTGTGCCATTTGAGCATCTTGACGTGACGCTGGCCTCTCTTAAAGCAAAGAGAGGGTCGAAGAGAGTGCAGTGCAGAAGGCATGCGGGCTTTAAGACTTGGTTTGTGTGTTAGTGTGTGTGCATTCCATTGTGCACATGTGTGTGTTCCAGTGTGCACTTGTGTCTTTGCTCCAGTGTGCACATGTGTATGTGTTCCCAGTGTGCACATGTGTGTATGTGTTCCCAGTGTACACATGTGTTCCAGTGTGCACATGTGTGTGTGTTCCAGTGTGCACATGTGTGTGTGGAGACTGGAAGTGAGCTTCAGGCATTGTTCCCCAGCATCTGGCCACTTAGTTATATGGCAGAGTCTCTCACTGGGGCTTATCAATTAGGCCAGACCAACTGGGTAGAAAGTCTCAAGGATCCACCTGTCCCTGCCTCCCCCATCCCAGAATCACAAGGACGCACCTGCCCAGCTGTTAACATGTAACGTGACTGCTGGGAAGTGAGCTAAGGCCCTCAGGCATGCTAAGCAAGCACTTAGTGACTGAGCTATCTCCCCAGCCCAAGTTTCCACTCCTGATCTGATATTGCTGCCACAAGCCTTGCTTTCTCTCAAGCTTTGAATTCCTCCTACCTTAGAGAACACCCAAAGGTAGGGACGCTCTTCTCTACATCCTGGACAAGAAGTCTGAGTAAGCACTGAGCTCATCTTCCTAATTAAATCTGTTTTCTGATGCTCTTACCTTCCTGGTGTTCTAGCCTACATTGCCAAGGGTAAAATAAAATCAAGTATGATTCTATAAAAAAAAAAAAAGCAACTGTTTATCACTTGGTAATAGTCCTAAAATTATGACGTACTGCATTGCCGCATTAGGGCAGGGAACTGGTATTGGTGATGGTGGGATGTAACTTACTCTACCCACGGCTTCCTTCCTAAAGGTCATAGCCTGCAAGTCATGTTCTAGATCATCTGTCTAATCCAATGAGGGTATCCTGTGCTTGTGTGTGAGACTCAGAGTCCCTGACATCCAGTATAGGACCCTCTTAGATAGTAAGTTATAACTTGTAAAACTGGTGTATGTGTGTGGCTGTGTACATATGAGCCCAAAGGCGACCTCGGGTGTTGTCCTAAGTCCCCCGTCCCCATACAGGGTCTCTCGTGGGCTTGCCAATCACCATAGGCTAGCAGGCCAGTGAGTCTCTGCTGCTTCAGTGCTGGGGTTCTACAAGCACCTGCTACCACACCTAGAGATTTGTAAGGGTCCTGGGAGTGGAATTCTGGTCCTCCTGTTTGCACAGCAAATACTTTAGCAACTGAGCTATCTCCCCTGCCAGAGCTTTTGTTTTCTTTTGGAGACAGGGTCCTACTGTGTATCTAATTCTGCTGCCTCAGCCTCGAGTGCTGGAATTATAGGCACCTACCACCACACTGAGCTGAGAACTTCGGAAACTTTACTGTAGTCTTCCCCTTCCGTGTATCAGATTTCAGGGTATTTTAGGTTATTGCGGGGATATTATGAGGGAGGAAATGTGAAATTGTGTTTGAAGTTGACCTTGGGGCTTGATGCATTGCAGGGATGGGAAGGAAGAAAGGAAGAGGCTGAAAAGCTTTGGATCCAGGACTGTAGGATGGCCCTCTTGCTCAACATTCCCGTGGTGACATCAGCAAATGACAGGGAACCAATGGCAGATGAAAGTCAACTTAGCAGCCTCATGAGCTTCCTGGGGTTACTTCAGTCATGTGGGGGAGGGGCATGGAAAGCTCAAAGGCCCCTGTGTTAGTGGAAAACCCACTCTGGCATGGGTAACAGCTCAAACA